GGCCGTTCCGTCGGAGCCGACTCTGTTCCTTTCATCTTCTCAAAGACGGGCTCCCACGCACTATCGATTCGATTCGCAGGATCTGTCGTTTCTCTGTGTGACGAGATATGATCAGCGTGAAACGCGGGACAGATTTGTGGCCCTCGCGTGACCTCGCGGACTGGCACCTAGAATGCATGGAAGAGGAAACGAGTATATCGGGCGAATGGAGCCACCCGGGCCAATGATTCCCATTCTGCGGTCTCCTCGCATTTCTGTGCACGTCTCGTCCATCCTGCGACAGAAGAAAGCGCGGATCTAACGATCTAACGGCTGACAACCGTCCATTTTATTGCCTTTTCTGTCATTCCGGGCGTGTGACCCGGGGCGGACAGCCTACATATCGTTTCGCACGCACCCCATTTCTCTTGTCCCACAAAAACGAACGCACCAGAGGTAAAATTTTTTTACACGAATCTCTTGCGACGCAGCTCACAGCTTGGGGGGGGGTGTTGCTTAAATAAGAGAAAGCACTGGTTTCCAGGCAACGTCTGAGTTTTATTTTCCTTGGCCGCGCAGCAGGACAAGGAATTTTACCTTCAACTCACGAACGAGACTCATGAATGCACTCGCAGGAAGAAGTGCTGGCGAGACAGCCCATCCTCATCAATTCCAGATGGTGCTAATGCCTCGTGTTTCACGGACTCGACAGGCTTATGGTGAATTTAAACTGACTTCGGATTTAAAAAAAAAAAAGAAATGGGATTTTAAATGGAAACATACGAAGTCCATCCGAATCCATCGGTTTGTGAAGTCAGTTCAGAACTAAAAAAAAAAAAGACATGTCTCCCGTGTAAGACAGGCGTGGACGAGAGAACCCTTTGTAGCCAAAGTTCGGTGTGCAAAAAAGGGGAACACATTCGAAACGACAGATCCTGCGAATCGAATCGATAGTGCGTGGGAGCCCGTCTTTGAGAAGATGAAAGGAACAGAGTCGGCTCCGACGGAACGGCCGCATCCGGTCCCTCCCCCCCCCTGCCCCCCCTGCCCCCCTCCCCCGACATCGTCTCCGCGATCCCGAAGGAGGCGATAAAACATTGCCGCGAACGTTGCCGTGCAATTACCGGCGGAGAAAGGGATGACAGCGGCGGCGAGAGAGCTCAGCTGTCCATTCCGTCGCCGTCCCCGGAGACGGGATCATCGGTCTCGTCTGCGCCCGTTGTTTGGGATCCTTCCCTGGGATCGTTCCCTGGGATCGTTCCCGGTTCCCTTTTCTGGTCCCGCGTTTCGTCGACGCCTCTCGGATCGTCGAGAGGAGAGTTCGATTCGAGAGGCCCTACCCCTCTCCGCGGGACGTGCTTTTTTGGATAGGGATCAGTGAATCATGCCAAAGTGCCGTTCCATGCCAGGCCAAAACGACTCGGGATGGATCGGAGGGATAAGGATGAGGATAGAATGAGATAAGCCCCGTCCTCCGCCGTTCATTGAGATGCACATGTAATGCCCTTCATTAGAGTCTCCCCCACTCTTTGTGGGCACGATTCCCAATTGCTTCACTTCGCACATCGATTCATTTCCCTTCCTGGTCGGGATTTTTCGCTCATCTCCGAGCAGGGTCGCCTTGGGACGAAGGTGGAACTCCGGTACGAACGCGAATCTTCCAGCAGTCCGTGACGATGATCGCCCGAATGGAGACCGAGGTTCGCGACCGATTCCCGCCGTCCGTAAGTGTTTTCGTCGAGTCTCGCCGTTGCCGACCCCACACTCTCTTGCAGGGCCAGGACGGGTTCGCAGCGCCGACGTGGGCTTGGTCGTGGCCCGAAGCTCACCGGCCCCTTTTCATCGGGTTGCTCGTCGCGTCCTGTCTCCTCGTAGTCGCCACGATCGGCATCATCGTCTGGCGATGCTGCCGCCTGCGGGGCTACCACCTCAAACACGGTGAGGAATTCCTTCCCGACGTCGGTTCGATACGTTTTTCCCATGAAAAAAACTAGAGGCGGCGACTGAGGCGGAAAAATTCGCCGGAATGAAGGCAATTACTTATGTACAGGATGCAAGGGGGGGGGGGGGGGGGGGGAGGGGGGGCATGGAATTGTTCTAAGAAAAAAATGGGGGGGTGGTGGGGGGGGGGGGGGGAGGATGCCAGGGAGAAGGAGGGATACCCCTGGCCTCCGCTATTGCAGTTCATGGCCCATTTCACTTCCACTCCCAGAGTGATGGATGTCTCCAAGAAGACGTTCGATTTGCATGGAAAAAGAAAGGGGAGGAAGAGCCGGGTCGGCGTAGGAAGTAGGCACCCGCATTGCTTCGGCTTTCTCTGGCCGCTTCTGCCAGCAGACGCGTAATGGAGCGTGCGGAATAGATAGTCCAAGCGGAAAGAGAGGGGAGGGACAGCCAAATATGAAAATCAGCGCGTGAAAGATGGTTTCATCTGCACGAGGACGGTCATGCATCATGGGGGTGGCGGGGGGTCCTGCGGGTTTTCATTCTTCTGACGATGGGGGCCTTACCAATCCCTTTGTCTTTTGTAGTTCAGCTCGTATTCGTGGGGCGATCAAGCTTCTCGAAAAAAATTATATAGTAAGGCAGCGTCAAGGAGCAGCTCACGGAAGTGGAAGCGTTAATTTTACAAAGGGATGGATTTTCTGCTCCCGGTGTGAGGGGGTGAAGGGTGGGGGGAGGGGGGGGGGGGGGGGGGTAAANGGGGGGGGGGGGGGGGGGGTGGGGGTGGGGGGGGGGGGGGGGGGGGGTGGGGGTTTACCCCTATGCAGAATAGCGTGACACGTCAAGGTAGGTGGGGGATCGACCTATGCGTTTCGCTCATTCAAGATTCCACATTTCTGGAGCTGAACCATCTGGAATAGCGCAGTGATGCTTTCGGGTAAGGAGGGGGGAGGTTCCTTCGGGAAAAGTAAAAAAAAAGGGAATCTTTGAGGAATCTTTTCCATCACTAGGAAGACCAGTGTCCATCGCATGATGAATACGGGCAGTGATGGATGAATCACGAGTGCCAAAAATAGGGAGTTTTTCTCATGTTCCTTTCACACTCTTCGATTCCAGCCATTTCCTTGGAAGGAGAATTCGGTGCCGGTCCGGTTGTCGATAACATTCCCGTGCACGGAATCCCAGTCAAAAGGTGAGTCGCTCTCGATGCAACGTGGCTCTCCCTTTCGACTCTGGATCCCGTAAATTAAATTCATTCAGTTTCGTCCCGCGGAAGCGATCGATGAGTCGCAGCGTGCATGCATTTCACGCCTTCCCGTCTCCGAGACGAACGAGACAGATCCGATTGTCCCTCGCTCTCGGGCCCCGCTGCCTCCATTCATCCTCTTATGCCCCTTTATGCGTTATCTTCTGCCTCCTTTATGCGTTATCTTCTGCCCCCTTTGTGCGTTATCCTCTGCCTCCTTCATCCTCGTAGGGATACCGTGGTTCTGCTGAGGTGCTCGACGACCTTTGAGGAGTGCCCAATTACGTGCCGACTTCTCCAGTGTAAAGGACAGGTGAGTTCCCTCAGACACTAATTATGTATCGTGGCATACAATCACCGCGATCCATAGGGCAAGGGTCATCGGCATTCTGCTCTTCCCGTTCCAGTTCGAAGAAGATCTTCTTGCCGAACGCGATGCGCTTCTTCCCCAGTGCGGAGACGGGATCGACGAAGTTTGCTCGTCCAAGACAGGCCGGTCTCGTTCGTTATTCTTATTTATCCTAATGACGTTGATGAGTTGATACCGAGTGTGCACCGAGTTCGAGTGAGACGTTCGCTGTGCAGTCCGTTAAGAATGCACCGAGAAAACTCTCAATGGACAGTATCGATTTTCGATTTATTGAGTGGTGTAGGAGCCTCTCATGCTATGCAAATCCTCTCCGAATTCAATTTCGGAAGATACATCGTTTTCATTAAAGCCGGAGCGGAATCGTTCCACCCCAATGAATCAGGGTGGTATCCCCTTCGGTAGGTCTCCACGGCTGCTGTCACGGGACGGTGGACCTCCGATTCCACAGTCTGCCCGATCGAGGCTCGTCGAAGCCCACTTGGAGCTCGGAGGACCTCCAACTCCTCGAGGGATCGCCGCATCGCGTGGTGGGGAGTTGTCTCGAGAGGGTCGGGGTGAGAAGTTGGTCTTGGAACCCGATTGTTTTTTTTTTATGCCGTAGTTGGTGCTGAGCAAGCGCTTGAGGAACCGGATGCCGATGGAAACGGCGGCGATGATCGCCAGGCAGAGGTCCTCGAACGAAGTGAACGGTGAAGGCGCGGTTCCTCGCGACGACAAAGCCTCGCTTCCGGACGCGTCTTCCTTCGCGAACTGGCCTTTTGCCGAGGTCGTGTATGGTGTGAGGAGCCACGTCTAGCGTCCGGACAGTGAGTGGACTGGGTTGTGTGTGTGATCGGCGGCTCGCCGGCGTTGTGTCGCCGAGTCGAGATAATGGAATTACTCGTTTCTTGGCTGGCAGTCCTGTCCCTTCCCTCGTGTTCCCGCTGTTAGATGATTTGTCGTGACGTGACCCGTTCTTCCGCGATTTTTCATGCGTCATCTCTCTGTTGGCAGAAGATTCTAACGCGGTGCAGATCTCACTCAGGCCGTGTAAGTATTGTGTATTCTACTCTGATGAGCTTTCGGCTTCGGAAAATGTCATCAACAGCATCTTGCTCACGTTCTGTTTGCTTTCCATCAACGCTATTCAGCGCCTCTATTTGGAACGCTTGCTTTCTTTTCCCCCTCGGCTTCACGCTGAAATTCTCACGAGCTTCTTCTTCGGCCTTCGTGTTCAAACGCCGTTAATTTGGACCGGACCTCTACTGGGTCGACCGATTTCTCAAGGCCGCCGTCTCTTCCATGCAGAACAGCCATCTCGGGCGATCGGCCAACTCGGTTGAACGTCCATTCCAGAATATGGAGCCGCAGCCGCTGGGAAGGCCAGACTTGCTTTCACGAATGATCAACTCTGATTGATTGAGGAACTGGACTGTGAGAATCCTTCATTACCGCTTTGAGTTGATATAATTTCTTGAAGTGGGATTTGCAAAATGTTTCGCACTCGTGACCGCTCATTCACAGTGAGAAGTGAGTGACAATCTTCGCATCAAATACAGTTTCTGTGCAAAATACCTTTGGAAGTCTTGATCTGCTGCATCTGGAAGGGTTTGCTTTCAACACCCACCCGCTTGCTTGAAACCTCAAATCACCGCATGGTCCAACTGACATTAGCAACTTTATTTCGGTTGATATTTGTGACAATCTCTCCTTCAGTGTCTTCCTTCGTGAATCGATTTCTTAATGACTTATTTCCGCCTTTTCGGACGAGGAAGTTGGGCACTCCTGATTCTACGTTGACAGTGATAGGACAGCCCCTCACGAAGATGATTGGTAGGAAGAGGGGAAGAAAGGAAAAGGACAGGAGAACAAAAAAGGACGCAAAGCGGAAAATGTATTCGATTATCTTCGAAAATGTGCGCGATATCCTGTTCTTGTCACTGAGAGGAAATAGGATGACTATAATATAAACAGGGAAGAGCAAGCGAAGGAAAAGGAGAGAATGTAGGTATGTGTGGTATTGATCCCAAGGGATGTTGACTCTTTTTCTCGCCGGACAATGAAGCGAGAGGCGAGGGGGACTGGTTGCCAATCACGAGACCCTCGTAATGACCTCCAATGTAAATTAATTGGAAGGGGGGGAAGAGAAAGGAGCATGTTCGTGGGTCACGGGTGACAGTTACGCATGGGGTCCTTACCCCGCCTCCCTCGTTTCCAACTGGGGGGAGCCCAGTGTACACAACACCTTCCATATTGAATCCTCTTCATCGTGCTTCACCGTGATCGTGTTTCGAAATTCGATATCCTCGTATGCGCGATTGTTGTTCGGGTATCCAGCATCATGACACTGACAGAGGGTAAATATGTTGTACCGCATTGTTCATGAATCTCTTGTTTGTGCTGGTTACAAATATTTTGCGTTATCTTGTGTATAATAAATGAAGTAAACTCGAGATTGTCTCAATACGTTAAATAACAAAAGCGCCGAAGCGATTCTTTTTCATGTGCAGCCAGAGGCGAAAACAAGGGGGAGGGAGGGAAGGGGCGGCACTTTAAAGTTTCTATTGAACTATTGGAAAGTAAAGTAAAGGCACCTCCTCCCACCACTTCCTCTCGAAGACAAAGGAACTTCAACATTGACTATTTCCGCTCGGGTGTGGGGCCACTCGAGGTAATCCAAGAGGGAATGCAAAGTTCCATGAAGGCTGATAATTGGAGTAAATATTGAATGATGAATTCGATAGGCACAGCTCCGGTGCAAACCTGCTCTACCCCAACGGAGTCCAATCCATACTCTGCCACAATAGCAGTTATTGAGGTGCAAAGGGGAGTGCAAGGTAATGATGACTGTAATAAACAGATACATTTTTGTACTGATAATGCGAGTGTGAAACCATAAAAGGAGTGAACGGTTAATATGCGTCACGAGACAAGCGCTAAAAAAAAAATGGTTGCGAAATCATGTCTTCACACTGAATCAAAGTTGCAAAAGATCGGAACGAAATTGCGGTATTCGATGAACACGTCAGAAAAGAATCGATTACATTAAGTTGTCGACTTGCGAGCTACAAAACTTCACATCAAGCTCGTATAATATGGTTATTGGGAAATATATATTCTCCATTCTTGGGATCTGCATCGATACTCGTGGGCAGTGCCACTCCCAAGTGGCCGTTTTCAGCCCCGGATTCGGCTTACGGACGTGCGGGGTCAGTCTGGCTCACATGGCAGGACCTTACGCATGTGCGAAAATCCTGTCCGGAGGCCGAGCGTTTACTAATCACATCGTAACTACCCATTCGTTTCCACTATGGGAGGAAGCCACCTAGGGAGGACTTTCAGCTGAAAGCAGTGCTAGAGAGACGTGATTCCACTTACATCACGTCAAAAGAAAATGAATCCAAAATTTTCGAGACTTTCCTCGCAAATTTGAGTTTAGTAATTGATAGCTCAGACTCTTACGGGAAACCACGCGCTTCCATGTTTGTTGGAGAGGCCGGGTCTCCTTGCCTCCTGTGACGAGCTGCCATTACCCTTTCAGCTCTTGCCAGCATGTGACATTGGTGCATTGGCCGTTGAACACGCCTAATACGTATATTTTTCAAGCTCAGATTATGCTTGTTGAGGATTCTCACCAGCATTAGTTGGGTAATGGGGCTGTTATATTTACTTCATGCATATGCACAGTACTACAGCTGGTAAAATAATTTTCAGAATCATCCCCATTCACGTCATGTCGCAGGCACTAGGGCAGGGCATATTTCAATGTGCAGTTGTAAAATGTGGAGTTCTGAAATATTTTGTGCAGTTCAAAACTGGGCAAGAATTACATTTTGAAATTAAAAGAATGACTTAAAAAATTAAATTAAATTTTACTTCCCGAATTTTCGCGCTTCGCCTGGAGGGAGGCACTTAGCGACGTACCGACCTACAGAGGGGTTATAATTATAATCATTTGTGCAGTTCTGATTTTTTCCTTACGATATGCCCTGCACTAGGGTCTAGAAGTACATTACTCTATACAGTCATATTGCCGCAGTCAATATGCCAGCAAAAAGGGAAAGACAAGGCTTTCCCAGGGTTTGATACGGAGTTGCCGTTGTGTGTGCGAGATTATTTCACTTAGTGAGGCGAAGGGCAGCCAATGGTCTCCCAGTCAGTTCCGCCGTGTCTTTGTAGGGACCCTCGAAAGAGCTGGGATTCTAATCAAGGGTATGACATCCAATTGAACATAAAGGAAATGCTATTGGTTGGAGACCACTAATAATTCCCTTAAAAATTGACAATCCACAGGCTGAAACTCAAACCTAATGTTTCTGCTGCCTGTTGAGAATTCCTGGGGCTAACATCATTTTGGTTACCTGAGAAGGATCTATCATAATAATATTGTTGAAGTTACAAACCAAGCCAAGTTCCTTGAAGTCATCACTGAACAAGGGCGCTGTCATCGAGCTTCCTCTGGACACGATATCGCACGATATTGCACGATATTAAGTGGGAATAAAATTCTGAGCCGTTCCAGTTATTTGGTAACTAATATTGACCCAGAATACAAACTTGAACAACTGGCCTGGCAGGGTCAAGAATTTTTTCTCAATTGGAAGTGTCTCATGAACAAACTTCGCAAAATTTTCAATGTACCAGTGCTGGATAATGCCACCATGGAGATACTATGAAAGTCTTGTGTCAAATTCCAGTTATGTGGAACTATCTCAATCATCAGATTTTCAGTGGAGTACTTGCAAAAAGATAAGGTATATATTTTTCAAGGATGGGTATGATAAGAAAGAAGCGTAAGATACTAGGTGCAAAAGGCTCAAAGGCCAAGAATGCACCTTAACTCTGAAATCCTAGCCAACCATTTCCCCACATGCAGTATAAAGCAATCCCCCGTAGCTGCATCTAAGACTCAAGTAACCCCTAACCTTGGGAGACTCATTTTGACCCTTTTTGCATAGGCAGGGTATTTGCATACCTCACTACTTGCAAAATCCTGACAGTAACAAAGAAAAGAGGTTTTAACTGATTTACCTGAGGAATGGAGTAACAAGGTGGATGTGGGTACAAGACATAAGGGACCCATGGTTTTGGAGTATGATGAGAGCATAAGTAAATGAAGATCTTGCAGAAATTAGTTCAAAAACTGTACCACCTGGGTTCAGCTTTCAACATTAGTGCTGTTTGATGGCCACATCTAGAGATGGAAGTGCAAGCCAAAATCCAAGTCACTCACCAGCCCCAAACTACTATATGTAAATTTTCTACTTATTAAATCCACTAAAAAATGGATGGCAGAGGATTGTGTATCCATTCAATATGGTAAAGCTCAAGCATTGACAGTAAATGAAGCATTCAACTGCAGCTCAAGGTATACAGGGTATATTTTTTATGAATATTCACAAATATACCAGAGGACCCTGTCAAGAAGTTATATAAAACAATGGAATGTGTTCCACTCACACACAAAAAATGAAGATCCCACAGGCCTTTTTTTCCAGTTCATTCAAAACAACATCAGTGAGTTTTTGCACTAACACTTTTAGTACCTTCTCATCACAGTAAAAAGGAAAAAGGCACAACTATTAAGAAATAATTTGTACTGGGTGGATGTAAAGTTTGTAACCAAAAAGGAAAATTCTTGAAGCTTAAATACATAAACTGTAAAGTTGAAACTTTGCAGGATGATAGAGAAAAGTAGATGTTTTCCTCCGGTCATGAAGCCTTAGACGAAAAATTAATTTTCTCCCCTTTTTCCCTGATTTTGGCCCATTTCATCCCAGAAACTCCATTGGCTCAACTCTCTCTTCTTTCATTTGAAGGTTAGCGATGGCTGAGCACTTTGAAAAGAATGATTAAAGTGCTGTGTCAGAATGTAGAAGAAATAAAATGGTGTTTCATGGATGGGGGTTGCACTTCTGCCTTATTCAAGTGCAAAGACTTTTCAAAACACATTGTAGGTCTTGCTGGAGGTTCCTTCTAACATGTGCAAAGTTCCATGAAACAGGAAGCACACTAGATAACCCTTGTTCTGGAAGTACCTCCTCAAAATTAGTACACTGCTTAAGTACACCTCTGGATAAGTGTGCCTCAAATGACACTTTTAATACTAGAACTACCAGGGTAGTCCCTTTGACTGCTTGCTGATTTTTAATGCACTCTGCTCTGTTCATTTTGCAACAAAGGGCCTTTGCAATTTTTTTACTTTTCCTATCTAATATTGACATTTTGAACATACCAAATAACATATTACTGAATAATACGTCACAACTTTCAATACAGCTGTCAAATTGACACCTCCAGTAGTTCTAGTGTTAACTTTGAGTCAGATTTAGAGTGCATGTAAGCACAATGAAGGATACTTCAATGTGCTTCATGAAGAAACTGAACTCTAGATCATTTCCTGCTTCAAGGAACTTTTCACAGAAACTTTTGATAATAAAATTTACTGGCAGTTTTCTGTTTAAATGTAACCTAAAATTTGCACTTAAATACAGCACTAGTGCATCCTCATCCATGAAACAAATTTCATTTCTTTTACATTCTGGCAGAGCACTTAACGATTTTCATCAAAGTGATTAGTCATTACTAACCTGCAAATGAAAGAAAAGAGCAGAATTTGCAATTTCTAGGATAAATTGGGCTGAAATCAGTGGAAAAAAAGTGAAGAAATAACATTTTCTGTTGGTAGCTCTGTGATTTTTCAGTTACAAATGAATAAGTGACTCTGAAAAAATGTACATCTTTCTGATATCATCCTACAAAGTTTCAAATTTGCAGCTTTTGTTCTTGCTTGAACTTCAAGAATTCTTTCATTGTTTGTAACAAACTCTGTTTCCATCCTGTATATGAGGGCACTGCATTTAAGCTTTGGACCTCAAATAATCCAAAATACTTTCAGGTGTAGGGCTTTTTGGGTGTCCTCCATCTCCTAAACCCTTTTCAAGAAGGGCTCTTGATGTGGTTGGGCCTATTCCAATGACCTATGGTGAACAGAGAAAAAAAAAGTTGTAGCTCTCTTATCCTTATGCAACTTCCAAGCTAATGTGAGTACAAATTTACAGGAATGAAAATGAATCTGGTTCAGGTTTCCTACCTTGGACTTCAGAAAGCCATCCAGGTTATGACTGAGGGCAGAAAGGACACTCTTCACACCACTAGGACTGAAGAATATAACATACTCGGGAACCCCCTAAAAAGTATGATTTGGATTAAATGAAATTTTCTCAGTGGGAAATTTTGCCCTACAGTAGTGGTCCTCAACCTTTTCTTAGCAATGGAAAAATATTAGAGGAACCAATAGACCTCCATACTCAATAATGTAGGTCAAACAAAAAATTTTGAAAACAGGACCTCTGAATACTTAGTTATAAATTGATTTTCTCATTAAATAATATATTATATTGTAAATTATGTATCCTCAAAATTATGACCTTGAGGTTATATGACTACAACTGCTAGCATATTGCAAGTCCTTTACATTGTTTCTACTCTCTACAGGTCATACAAGCCCTGGGTAGTTGTAAACCATTTTCCTTTCTTCCTCCATATAAAAGTTTACAGTAGGTCATTAATACCTTGAATCTGCATTTGAAAAAATATTTGTAAACTTTATGTAGCTTTCTCTTAAATAATATTGTCTCATTTAAAAAATACATGCATAAATGTATTTGGTAATGTTATGGGAATTTCATTGTAAGGCCACAAGGAATTGGCAAAGTAAAAAAGGAAAAATAAGAAAACATATAAGTCCCCACAGGCCAACTGAAAAACCTCAATCCTTTACCCACATGTCATTCCTGACAGCCTTCCATTCCATTAACACATGCATACCAGATGTAGGCATGTTATATGACCCAGTGGATAAAAGAGTGTACAACCTGCCGGTATCCTATACTGTAGCTAACAAGTTAAGAAAGAAGGCTGAAGCCAGATGTATCAGACTTAGAAAGTCTGATACTTCTGGAGGAATGAGCACTTCTAGAGAGGGTGATAAACCTCATCCACAGATGTGGTTTATCACCCTCTCTATAAGTGCTCATTGATTACACCAGTAAAAGGCCATTCTAGCCTTCAGGTCTTTTTACCCTTTGGTGAAAGGCCAAAAAACAAGGTCCCAACATCTGTAGTATTCCTGTAAGTCTCTCATGGCCCCCTAGGTATCATGGCACACTGGCCGAAAACCACTGCAGGGTTTATGGCCAAGCAAAAGCTTTCAATATGGAAAGAATCTCAAACACATTCCTAAGTGGAAATCCACATAATCTCACATAGTCCTGTAGATAAATAGCCAAAGATTGCGCCAAGTGAGGATCGGCAACTGTGTCATATATGTGGATGATCTTCACATCAATGCCAGCACCCATCAACTTCTGAATGAGAGTCTCTCCTGCAAGCTTGCTACATGGAAACAAGTACTTCCTCTTCCTAACTGGACCTATAATTAGGAAGAGATATGCATTGATTGTACCACTATTCTCATTAAACATGAAAACCTTATCATTCTTAACTAGTTTTCTTGTCTGAAATTGGTAAAGCTGTCACTCCATTGGTGGAAATATGTCATTTCTAACCGAGATTTGAATTTAGCAAGTTCAAAGATACTTTCTATAGGCTCCTTTTGCACCAAAGCAGAATTTCCATTTTTTAAAATTAGTGTGTATGTGCTGAACCAAGTCTTTATTGTTACATAAATCTTGTAAACCAAGTATATGTTTAAACATCTATCCTTTGGAAATGTCCTGTTACATGATAAACTATTTTTAAAATACCAGAGCATAGTGGAGAGGGAGACCTGAACCAGGAATATGATCACCACCACCACCTTGCCCACTGGGCTTTTCCCAGACACCCTACCCCTTGCAATATAGTGCATTTCATGGATTTTTGCAATAATGGTGCTAAAAAATCCCACTGAGGCTTTGACTCTTTGCTCCTTAGTTGGGGGGAAAAAAAAACCCAGATGAGATCAAAACTGGGAATTTAAGACAAAATATCAAGAAGGGCCTTACATTCCCATTTTTACAAACGGATATATTACTTGCGAGTTTGAGTTTTTCATAAAAGGGAAGTATTTAAATTGATACCTTGATGCCATCACTGGAAATTCTCTAAGAATTCACCTTAATCAATCCCCAATAATAAGATTCCTCATCAGGTACAAACTAAGTTATTTTTCAATATTCTGAAATTTGCTAATACTTCTAGATGTTTTTGATAATAGGAAAATATGATGTGGAAATACGAAAGAACTGATTTGAATGCTCTCATACTCTTAGCACAGACAAGATAGTCAAGGTAAGCCCTGAAGGATAATCAAGGTGTCATTCAGTACTCACATAAACCATATTCATTGCCCAAGGATGCAATCTTGTAGCAAAGAAAACTGAAGTTTTCTCAGTGGGTCATTCACTCATTTGGAAATCATATGATTCACAAAATAGAAATGATTACATCCTCAAAGCCCAGTAACATCCTGATATTATTTGGTAAAAATAATTTCACCTGAATCAAAGTAATGTGAATTGCCATGGTACATGGCAGCCACTTCCACATGTTCTATACTTAAATTTGTCACTGAAATCAGAGTTCTGGGTAGCACTGTTGTTTGTTCTGTGATGTGACCAATGTGCCAAGTCCTTGACAGTATTCTTTTGCATTAAATCAATTAATCTCATTAAAAATCAAGAAAGCTTTAAAAATTTTGAAGCCTCAAGGAATTAGATAATATGCATCCAAACACAAAGTAAAAAAGTGTGCCTTCCTTTATCTAAAAAAAAAATTTGACATACATATCCTTCAGAGTCAAGATTCCTTACCTTCTGCCTGTGTAATCTCATGTTCTGACACTTTCATTGAAGTAAGCAAATGCATAATGTGGCTTGCTATTGAACTAGGCTTTGTCAATCATCAATGAAATTAAGGCAGCATATACCTAATATGCTCTATGAGGAAAAAATAATAAGACCTATAATCCTTTATGATGACCAAGCCATACAAGCCTACAATGCTTTATGATGAAGTCTGACAAAGCCTCGGCACTTCCACATTCCTCGCCTAAGGAGTCTGGCCATTGCAGGTAATCACCAGCATCCTTCTTCGTCCTTTTGCCAACAACGAATACCTCTTTCTTCCCCCACAAGCTCCTGAGCTCATCATATTCAGGAACAAGCAATATTTTAATGGCCTCCACTGCACGAGGACTGGTCAAGATGATCCCTGTACAAATAAGTGCACAAAGCTCTCATAATCTCTGAAAAAAAAAGGGGTCCATAGTCTATCCATTCCAGTGCATTACCAGCATAAACATCTTCATGCTGCATCTCGCATAGAAGATCTTCTGAATTGATGAATGAGAAAACAGAAGTGTTGATGACTGTGGTTTGGTAGCCAGCTGTTTCCAACTTTTCCTGAAACAAATCTCTTGAAGATTCTTCAGAAGCTTTAAGGAGTAACACTTTGGGTTTGGTAGCCATTGGAATGGAACTGCTGCATAAAAATTGATGTTTCTCATTCTCCCATGGGGGTTTCAGATCAGCACTGCATAATGAGGCTATCGCAAGAATGATGGTGACTATGTCTCAAGCTGAGTTGAGACCTTCAATGCCCTAAACCTGAATGTAAAGAACAAGGAATGAGGATTATGGACTGTATGCTCTCTTTAAGAAACATTCTCAAGCATGGATCTGTGGCCTAGGTCTTGGCATGGATATCATCACGAATGAAAGCTATGGGTTCAACCCTCGCAAGGGCAGATTAGGCTTTTTCTTATCTATTTAGATCAATTAAACACCATGTAGGTCTAGGCTGGGTATATTTGCTGGCATTGCACCCATTAGGAAATAAATGATTCATTCAGCTTTTAGCCAAAATTCATTAGGTGTATATGTATTTGCAACAAGAATATACTGTGTAGCAATAGTTCACTGATGAAGATTCACTTCTGTGGTTGATGACTGGCATGGCTCTCGCATGGGCATTGGTGTAAGCCACCATTGGATGGTTCCACACGATTTGCGTCTGCGCGGCCTACACGTTCTTGTGAGACGAAAAGTAACTAACCACATGTACCATATTTCTTAAATATGCAGTGCGTGTATAGAATAAGCACAATAAAATCCAATGCTATGTGCTGCCTATTTTGAAAGGCTTCCAGATCTGCATTAAGGTTTGAGAGTTTCTCTAAAGAGGCTCGAAGCTGCCAAGTGCGTTATCATCATGGCGCAGAAGGAAGGAGCAAGCGAGCAAGGAGGGAAGTTACCCACCTTTTAGTTCAGAGTTGGCCTGCAACGGCGCTGTCTTGTTGTGGCGTACACGTTGACAGTAAAGTTATTTTAGGTGTATATACTTATTGTTCGGCATACCTTTCATAAGATAGCAGTAAATGTAGTCTTTCAAATATCTTCAATATCTTACAACCGTGCAACTTAGCGTCAGGCCAACCATGGATGGACTGTGGTTTGGCTTTCTAACCTCAGCCGTTCGTGAGGTCATATTGTACAATTAACGTTTTATGCTCAGGTGACTTGTCTCCGTTATCTAACTCCATTCTATGAGATCTGATTGAGTTCAGTGATACCTGTTGGGGCATAGACAATAGGACGATGCTCTGCAAACAAATGTTTCAGGAAAACTCTTGGATAATATACAATTCCAGCAAAAATAAGAAGAAAACAGCAGTGGAGTACCCCTGGCTGGAAAAGAAAAAATCGCCTGGAATCCTGAATCCCTGATATAGAGCTACATATGGGGCCCCTATGATTGAATTTGTTTTCTATTAAGATGGAGAATGAGACAGCTAAAAAGGGCCAAACAGTCTCAGAGCTTGGGATCTATTTGGGTGTGTGTCCACTCCTTTCCGTGGATTTTTCTGGAGAGGTATATAACAACCAAGAAAAAGGAAATATAACTGAGAGCTAGGTTACAGATTGGAATTTGTATTTGACGTTCCATATACACAGCTAAGAATTAGGTGGTACTCTTCAGCACCAGGTGAGCGTGCAGATTCTCGAGATCTAGCTAGGTATGGGCCTTACCCCTTGTAGGGTGAGAGTAGTAGAAGTGAAAATGGTTTCCTTTGAGTTAATGTAACTTATAACAATAGCCAGGTAAAGGCATTTGTGACAATTTAGTTCAAACCATAATGCTAAAATGGTACACTTGGAATTTAAGGTCAACTTTCCCAACTCTGGTACCCCTTCAGATGGACCTGGATTCTCTCATATCTGTTGTTATGACCCACATTGCTATGCCTGTTTTGGGGCTCTTCTATAACTGACTCTGGGATGCTTTCTTAAGCTGTCTCTCTTTTGGGACTGAAGCATATTCTGCTATCTAACCCACCTATGGCTCCCAATAGTTGAACAGAAAACTCCCAGAACTTTAAGCTTGTGCCAGTTAAAAGAAATCATGTTCAGATAACCATAGGCACCATGAACCATCCTGTCACCCCCTAGTTCCTCTGTGATTATCTCTCTTATCTTCCCCTCTGCTTATCTTAATGGACAGCAATGTAAAGAGAAATAATCTGAAACACTGAAGATAGAGAAGATCCTGTTCCAAAGGGAAAGAAGGACAAGTGCCTGCATAATTGTATAAACAATCATTGGGGACACAATTGAAAAAAAGGTTGCAGTCTCTATTAGTGCTATTTTAGCTTAACTTTACAATTGGTCCTCCAGCCCCTGGGGCAAGGTGAATATATAAGCAGTGCATATATTAATATGTATAAACTACCATCTAATTTTTCTAAGCTGTGCATACACACCATTTTGCACAAATGTCGCAAATTCATGTGTAACAGGCCTTGACAACCCAGAGTGGCCATGTCACACACCCTGCCCAGACCCCTGTCTCTGCTAGCATGACCAGAGCCTTTCTGTGCATGCATACTGTATTCATGTCTCAGGTTGGTCCTCTCGGACAGGCCTGAGTCACATTGTACAAGTCAGGTTTTTTTTCACACTTCCAGGCTAGTCTCCATTCTGGTGAGACCCATCAGTACGCCAGTGTGGTTCATGGACCTTGAATTTTTTCCAGTTTAGCATCAAAGGCCAAAGAGTGAAAAAGTCAACCTATTTTTGAGAATAATGGGACATTTGGGGTGAGAAGAGAGTCACTGCTGAAGGCCACTTTGGCCACGACCATGGAAGATTGAATGCTTGAGGACCTTAAACATTGCTTTTTCAAAGCACCTCCATATCTAATGCTTTAATAGTTTCAGGGAACCCTTTAAGACCTATCCCACGTGGCACTGAGGTGGAGGACCATTTGTAAAGGTGCTCTGTTACATTTGTTAAAGGAGGGCAGAATTGAAAATGAAAAATAGAAAGTGTGGTAATGAAAAGTGTGTAGGAACCAGACAACAGGGAAAAAGAGATATGAAGAAACTTGGAAGAGGCAACATGGGAGGAGGAGGCAAACATCCATTCTTTCCACCAGCTATTTACTCTTTGTTCATCAGGAAAATTGTTATCTTCATTAAGAGCTATTAGAATCTTGAGTTACCATTAAATGACAGTAGTTTTCCTTTGTTACTGGCTAATCAATTAAACTAAATTGATGATGCTATCTTTGCTCCATACTGGGGTTCCCTGCAAAGCATGCAAGTGTCAGACTGAGAAGCTTTTATCATCCATCAACTTCTGCCATCTGCTGACACCCTTCCCCCTCAGGGATTAGGTCTACTCCTACAATACCCAGTAATACATGGGTTTCCCTTGCCCTTGCCTTGGTTCTGGACCTCTCTTGAATACTTTTTTCAAGATTAGTGCAAATGAAGGTATTCTCTCTCCAACCTACCACTCTTCCTTGTTACTGGGTAATAGAGACTCTTGTGCACTGTGCCTGTTTGTGACACTGTCATCTTCATTTAAGGATTTTCTGCTTATCCAAAATATGCATACCATTGTGTAGAAAAATAGTATGGTAGAGACTGATGTAAAATCCACAATGTGGGGAATATTTTTGTATGATGCAATCCAACTAGGCTACAATGGCAAGCTTTGCTGGAATCACCTTCTAAACATAGCTTACTCTTGCTTCATGGGCTGACTGCCTTAGAAAACAAGTATGACATACAGATATTTTTAAGTGATACTGAAAATAATGTGGATGTCGTTAAGTTGGTATATGTTGCAATATAAGGTGAGAACTTTTTTATCTGATCATAGTGCATTTTGTGTATAATCTATTTCACTTCTGCATGTAATACCACATAATTATAATTTTATGGGTGTCATTTTATCAGTTTGTATAATTTCATGTATGGCAGGGTAATGTTACTATTATGGCACATTGTAAACATCGATTAGGCAAGTTATTGGCTTCCCAATAACTTACAATGGAATTTTTCAGGTCTATATGATTCTTTAGTATGATATTCAAAGCCATCATACAGATCCATTCTTCATGTCTTGAATGTTAAGATAATTGGGTGTGAGTGTTTCTCTGTGCAAAATTAGCAAGAAATTAATTAATGTTTGCTTAGCACCCTAAATAATCTTGTCATGGACTGTCTTATGTAATGACAATTTTTTTTATTACCCATTTGTGTTTGTTACTCCTTGGCAAGGTACTCAGAGATGTATCCATTTTTACACCTTATGTCTCTCAGTCTCATCCTGGTCATGTAGGCTCTATTGGGAAAACCTATCTGCTAAAGGGATAATAAACCTGCAGGTGTTCATAATGCATCCTATTGTTTTTTATTTTTATGCAGTAATTCAACTTTCATTTGATCCATATTCACATGCCCTAGGCTTATGTATGTACAAAACTCAGTGATCCACTTCAGTGAAATTATTATATGGGAGATTAATATAAGAAAGTTTTATTTTTCATTTGCTTTTTCATTTGACACACCCTGCATTTTAGACTGATTTATGGCCACCTAGTGTTGATTTATGACTGCCTAGAGGAATACTATATAAACCATGAAGTGGCCATATAAGAAATTACAAAAGGTTAATCTAATATCAACAGGGTGTTTTTCATATATAACCAAACAGTAACATATCTTCATAACATATCTTGATAGTAATGCATTTTAAATCAATTAATCTAAATTCAATTTATGTGCCATTTAATCCTTCAAATGCACAACTAGGCATTGCTAGTGTTCTGGAGGAACACCTAAATGGAGAAACACCTTTCAACCTAAATATTTCTGCTCATAGCTCTGCTATGAGCAGAAATATTTAGCTTAAAAGTTGTTGGTCTTTTTTTTTGCCATATGTATATTAGATATCCTGAATCCTTGTACAGGTGGTAGACTGTCAAAGGCTCAAAGGATAATGACATTCATCAGATGGGTGTCCCTGCTGATTAAGATGGATGGGATTTATAATTTTTGCAAAGAGGAGTTAGGAAACTTATGCCCTCTTTTTATGACTCTGTTCACACAATCCCATCCCTGAAACATCTGCAAATTTTAGGGCTGTGCTCTTTTAGAGGATAATAAGATCATGCCTCTTTCAATCGACTCAATTGACTTTATCCACTTTAACTGAGGTCCTCCAGTAGACAGGAGATGCTGCTGCACAAGGGTTCAGGATATTGACTATATGATGATGGTTCATGTGGTATTACCATTGGAAAATGACACACTCAACTAGATGTACCCCAACCTGAGCAATTTTTATTATGTGAGTGGATGAGGTATGAAAATAGTGGTAGTCTGAGAATGCCATGATACCAATGTCTCCAAATCTCCCTCTGTTTGTTTCCCCACCCTTACCCCACATACCTTTCTGAGTTTTGGCTTGTGTCACTAGAATTTAGATAATGCTAGCTCCATTCAGTGGTAGATTTGTCACTGTCACTAATGTTCCACTGGTTTTTAGTACCTTCCAGGTCATGGGTTCTGCTTTTATAGCAGACTTTTTATTCTTCTGTAGGAGACACAGAAGACAGTCAAAATACAGGAGCTAATGGAATTAGAGAATATTGTCGCCAACACTGTCTACTTGAAGGCAAGAGAGGGTGAGCACATTGTAGTGTTATTGTCTTTTCTTATCATTATTTCTTGCTTCATTGGTGTACACCTCATCATGACCACTCCTTGAGAAGACCATTTTCATATGGTACCATGAATGGTTGGCTCAAAGGGATTTCACTGTACTAGGCTGATGAAAAAGGAATGGTACTTTGGCTGCAGCTTAAATAACACTAGTCAAAATCGTTGGCCACTCTGCTGGTGTCAACTATGTTCACTTTGCAACTCATGGTAAAAATTTCAGTGGTTTTTTAATTAAGAAACTCTGTTGGTGATTCAAAGAAATTGCCATAGTAACTTTTGGTGGATTTTACTGGAATGCCAGCGCTGGAGAAGAGGGCAAACATGAAGCTCTGAAAATTGTTCACTAAGACTTGCAGTTTTGCCTGATTGCCCTGGAACTGGTGCCATCATATTTATTTTTGTAAATCTAGCAGACTACAGTTGAATTTATTGTTGAAGGGTGTTTGTCCCATACAGCATTGCTATTACCATAAATTCATGCACATAAGCCTACAACCATCAAACAACTCTTAATCTCATGAACTGCTTAGGTCTTCCATTTGTGGGAAGATGCCAAAAAAAGGGAAAATCTGCAATAAGAAGCCAGAAGTAAGCCTGCAAAGGCTACCTATCACAATGTGACTTGTAAAGTATCACTTTTAGATGTTATGATTCATCATGAACTATTATTGGATACACAGGTGGTGGTGACAGTAACAAAGGCAAGAGCAAGAAGTGGAGGAAACTTCTTCAGTTTCCTCACATCACAGAGTGTATTGACATCCGAGATCGCATAGGTGAGCTATCATGAACCTCGAGATTTGGAATGATTCTTCATTTAATCAGAATGTTTAATTTAAGCCAACACCTATCTGCCTATTGGTAAGTCATTGATACATTTAGTTTAGCCTATCTCTACAAGTCTACATTCACAAGAGTTATCGTGACAAAGTCTTTTGGAGTGTACCTAGTGTAATTGAAATGTGCTGTGCAGTGAGCTGTTGAAGTAGCAGGCAGGACCAACCCATCAAACTTTCTTTCATTTTTCCTGTTTAGACTTCCAAGAATAATGCATTATGTACTGATTCAAAGACAATAATATTTTAATAGTATGGAATTATTTGTGATCATGGCATGGAATTCCAACCAGGGTGGAGGAAAAGAAGGGGCTATATCCACTTCAGAAGCTTGGTAGAGTGCCCAGACTTTTATTTATTTATGGAATTCTGATATAAACACAGGAGAGAGCTAGGAAAGTCATTGATTGTAATGCCTTGTATAAGAGTCTGTTGTGGTAGCCTGAGCATTTTCTGGATCTCTGACCACTTCATGTATCTAAGTTATTTCACCACTATTTATACATGTTTCCACTGTCTTCATTAGGTTTTATTGTATTACTTTTATTTTAATATAAACCATTGTTTACTGGTAAACAGTCCCAATATTTATCATATGGGGGAGTCATAGATTTTTTATTGCATAACAGTGAAAGGGTTATGCACCTCAGCAGTAGGTATTTCAAAAGTCACTGAGAGACTCACCTAGGTTTGCCCAGGGTATTTAATTGCAAATTTTGAATATTCTATTGTGATCAGGTCCTGGAGAATATTGCTATAAAGATCAGAGGTTAGGCCCATGACATATGTCTCTGTATTGGGCCATGCCAAGGGCCTAAAAAAGCTATAATTGGAAATAAACCTGTTTTCCATGAACCAACTTTAAATTACAATAAAGGTAGAATTTTTGTCAGCAAAAATATGCATGGTGTAACAAAAGTTAGGAATCTTGGGGAATTAACCCCATTTATCCATTTGATGATCATTTCCAGCATAGATTGCCTGAAACTCACTAGCTAATCTGAATTGATACTGAACTCCTTAATTCCCAGAATCTCAAACTCTAATACACGTGGCCCAGAGTGATACTGTATGACCCATGGTGACCCAAAGTGGCTTAAATTGTCAGAGTGATCCAACTTGGACTGAATTATTAGAGGGTGATACAATTTTATAAAAATTGAATCCGAGACCAAAAAGTTGTGGGACAGCAGTTGTTCCTTTCATCTGATAAAGGTTAATGGAAGACAAAAAGTAATCCATTGTCCAGGTCAAGGGAAGAAATGGCAGGAGTCAATCCTCTACCTGATCAAGACAAGAAAATGACTGAATCCTCTGGCTCCCTCCCTCCCACCATGATGCATCTATGCACCATCAATTTATCATGCTCAAGTTGATACATTGATGCTTTGAAAACGGCCATTGTTACTTCCCAAAAAAAGTTGGACATGGCTTCCTCATATTCCCACTTGAATAAATATTTTAATATAATGGTTCTTTGCTCTTCGCGTCACAATCTGCTTTGGCACCCACCTATGCGTATGAGACTATAATTGGCCACCGATACAGCCCTAACCCAAAGTCATGCTTCTGCTTCAGGCATGGCTCTCTGTAGCTCTGCATGCCTCATATGACTTTGAAGTATGCCTTCCTTTTAAGGCTAATGCTTTAATCCATACCTTCTCTTTTATTTTCAGATGTGAGGTATTCCTATGTGATTGATCAACAACCAATTGGAAGGGAGCTGTTCAGGCAATTCTGTGAAAATGTGAAACCTGAATATCATCGGTACAATGAATTCTTGGACAAAGTGGTACATATTGATTCCCTTCTACTCAGATCCTTATATGTCATGGATAGAAGTGAGATGGTCAATTGACTATAAGTCAATTGACCATCTCACCATTCTTACTTTAGTTTCTTTTAAATCTGAAAATTCCATCATGCTTCACCCTCTACTGCATGATGCATGGAAGCCTTGGAGAGAAAAACCCTCATATTTCATATATCTTTTCTTGACCCTTTCAGACCTTGTGTCCATTCCACTGCATTTTCATTGTTTCTTTGGTGATTTCTTGGGATTCTTTTGACTTTGCACCCCATATTACACTACAATGAACTCAATGGCTCAATTCCATTGGAGGTCTTCTCTCACCTGTCAGTTTTTTAATCTTCAGCTATGTAATTACATGTATAATATATAATATATTGTATGATATGGAAAATATATGCAAAATATAAAAACGATAAATAGAACATAAAAATGTAAAGCAGAATAGGAAAAGAGCACAAAAAGGCAAAAATATGTATTATTCCGATAGTGGCCTTAATTCAGGTCTGAAAGGGTTAAGGCTCCAAAAATAGATATTATTCATCAAACTGCCAAATAGTCATTTTCCTGCATTTGTGGGTTTTTGCCAAAATAGTTGAAACTTGCAAAAGAAGAGAAACTTCAGAATTTGGAAGAGGTCAAACAAACATGTAAGAAATAGATATACAGGGTGTCCCATAAGTCACCATATCATATCAAAATGCAATATTTTCCAAACTGCAATAAGATCGCTGTTGTTAGCATTGATGGAAAGAATGTTTTTTAAGAATTTTTTCACTAATGATTTGGAATTAGACTCAAATGGAAATTGCTTAAATGGCATATTAGAAAGGTATACTTCTTTAAGGTGATTTATGGTACACCTTTTTGAATCCTCCTGTACAAAATTCCTAAACTTCCAAGTTTTTCTCTCCCAATTGAGACTTGAGAAACAGAAAAAAAAATCGTGACATTTAATTTGCTCTCACTATCATGGGAAAAGGCCTCACAATTGTCACTTGAGCAACAAAGGAATGTTGCAACCTGTATGGAGGTCTTTGAGAGTCCCATCATAGTTCAAAGGGAGGTTTTGCAATATTTTGGTACTGCGCCTCATGTATTGATCTAGGCAGAGAGCATTTTGAGGCACTTTTAAAACTAAAAAAACCACCATTTTTTAAAAAGATTATTCAAAATGACATGCCATCATTCAATTAATGTTACTTCTTTATTGTGCCAACTGTTCAGTAGATGTGAATATTTGAAATGGTATAGTGACTCACCCTCACTCACCCTGTACAGCAGAATATAAAGGGAAATTTTTTAAAATATATTTGATTTTTTATTTATTTAGAAATTGCAATGAAGTGAGGCCAAATGTACTAAGCTATGGTGCTGACCCAGTATTTCCAAAATGTTCCCAGTTGGTAACCAAGATACATGTAAAAAAATATTTGTTATTCCCAACCAGAGTGTATCATGAATATTTCAGGAATTCCCTCCCTATTCACCTTCAGTGAACCTTAGTGCATTCTTTTCAAGTTATTCTAATGTTATTCCAAAGCATGAACAACCGTATGCAGCTTGATTCATGCCTGTAATAAGTAAAAATATAAATGTTAACTATGTATTATCTTAGAGCAATGCAAATAATCAGTCTTTTTCTCAGTTGCACTACTCAGTCATTTAAAATCTAATTTATAGACAGTCAAATAAGAAAAAGTTTGCTCTTGACCAAGCAACAAATCAGTATTATGTTAAAATTTGTCTAAAAGGGGAAATATATTCTGTCAGTTCTGACCTATTATAAATACTATCTGCATTATTGAGAAGTGAACAAAAAAAAATACTATTAAATATTTGCTGGGATATATGAAAGTTATTATGGCCAATTTACCAGTCAATTGGCTAGTTTTTTAATAACTGGTCAGTATCTCATTTAGGAATATGTACTTACTTTATTTCTAAAGTTTGCAAAATATTGATTGCTATATTGATTGCCATAGGCCCAGTATGAAGTGGAACCAGATGAGAAGCGTCTTGCCTGTGCTCAAGAAATATTTCAGAAATACCTCAATGCTCAAGTGAGTCCTATTGCCTTGAACATATTTCATTTTAGTTTGTGACATCAGGACGATCTCCTCCATAATATCTATATAGGAAGAAGATGGTGTTCACATCTTCAATGAGGCTCTTGGAGAAGAATGCAAAGCTCGTATGCCCATGGCTCCAAAGGACCTATTCTTGTCATGTGTTGAAGCTGTCAAATACTTCTTGGCTGGTGAACCATTCCAACTCTTTGAAGGTTCAATGTACTTCCTTCGCTATCTCCAATGGAAATGGATTGAAAGGTGAGCATTTGTAATGTGTAATGTATGCAGAATGCCAATGTGATAATGCTAGGGCTGCAATACTGGGTAGAAACAGTAGTATTGCATTACCAAATGAGCAGGATCCCAAAAAACACACTTAGGTAGTATTTCATGCATAAAACATTGATTTAACTGAATTTGATCTTATGTCTTTATGAAATTCCATGGAAAAACATCAATCCAGTAAAATGGATTTGCACAGGAAGTAGAGTTCAAGGAAATCTTACCATTTCTGGATATTGGCTGATATTAGTGACAACAGTTGATATCAATGCATCTAATATTGCTCCATCCAATATATATATATATTCACTTGTGTTAGTTTCATCTCAGATATCTAAATACTTCCATGGGTATCATCCTTTGAAAGAGTTCTTGGCTTGGGAAGGTTATTATGAACCTTAGTATAAGCATGAAATAGGTGAATTTTGTTGGAAAAAAAAAATTTAAGGAAGTTCTGAATGATTATTTGACATTGCTATTCCGGTTTCAATAAGCTGAATAGCAGATCCAGGCTAAAATATATTACAACCCTATCAGTAGACCTTTATGGATTCAATTGATGCAATTCTGGTCTCATGAATTAGGTGCTTGTTCCTGAAAAAGGCTCTAAGAGGAAGAGTAGGAAAGCTTGAGAGGAAATTGTTGATACTAAACCATTCAGGATGAATGCTTGGTTCTAACCCATGCTGTCTTTCAGGATTCTGACTACATCTGCTGGATGAACTGCCAGGCTTGGCATTTGTTTCCCTTATTCTTTTAATTTATGTTGGCTGGCACCCCTATAGCAATTGAAAACCATCCCCCCCCTTCCTGCCCACCAAAAAAGAAAGGGCAGAGGTCCCACAGCATTTGGGTTTTGTGTGTCTACCTGCTTGCTTGTCAATGTGTTTACTTTTGGTGTAAGCATTGGGTTCTACCTCCCTCCCTATTTCTCTTCGATTAGCTCTCAGAGTAGCTCATCTCATTGGCTGCTTTGGTGTGCAGCTTTATTTTTATTCTGAGGCAGACAGGTCTTTTTCAAAATTGTTCTTACCAAGGATGGGCATGTTAAAGAGGAACTATTTACAGTTGCAGTTATGGTTCCTTTTTTGTCACCAGGAGATGCTCACTATCACCCCAATTGGCTAATCCAAACTGAAAGAGAAAAGAAATGGAATGGAATAGACAAGAATGAGCGACTTTATTATTCTCATTTTTCCCTGACACTGATGACCATTACAAACTTGACAAAGGAAGAACAAAATACCACTATTTGTTCCATTGTTCCATCTCAGAAGATGGAATGATCACCATTACCCATTCCTAAAATTTTTAATGTGTTACAGTAATGCATCACCCAACACTTGCTCTCACTACTCATCACATCATGGGTGTGATGGGTTTGATGTTATATCAAAAACTAGCAGGTAATATAATATCTCCCAGATGTACCCACCCTTTAATTGCCAATAAACAATTTTCAATTACATAATTGTGATTTTTATTTATTTAAGTTTAAAATCCCATCACAACTTTCGGTAGACCCTGTATATGGTCACACTATTGTGTGTATGTGGAACTGTTAGCCCAAAAGGGACACTCATTGGTGTAGGTAGTATGAAACCCCTTTGCACTTAAGTTACTATCATAATGTTTTAACTATCAAATCTCCAAACCTCAACTGATACTGTACCTTTTCTGCCTTCTAAGCAGCCTGCCCAATGGATCCTTTGACAGTCATTTGCATCAGTTACACAACATTCTTCTTATGCTGGAACTTTTTGGGTCTTGTATTTTAACTATGTATCCATGTAGGCTTTCCCAGCTCTACCAGAGCTAGCTATCCCCACCACTCATATCTGAACCCTTGTGTTGTTAATGAATTGTAACAAGTTATAAACATGTCATGCACACTAATCTTTCATATTGATGTGGGTTCCAGACGATATGAGTTGCTTGGAAAAGATTTTCTTGATCTGCATTGGCTTTGGATAATATCCTGTGGTGGATTTTCTTTCAAAATCTGAAGTTTTCTGGAAATACAGGTCAAATCTCTTTATGATGAAAATTTTCAGTACAATGAAAATATTTTTTTATATTGATACTATGAACAGAATACTTGACAGAATGAAATTTTTGTTTCAATGGAATTCATTGCATCAAGATTTTACTTGTATTTTGGAAACAACACTTTTCCTGGGATATTTTCAGAGTCCTTTAAAAATAATAATGATGTTGAGCTAGTGTTATAATGCTTGTAAGGCTCGTTGGGGACTAACTCCACTTTAACAAAAAGGCAACCACATGCCATATTTACTTTTACTTCCAGGAACTAGGGACCATTGACTTTAAATTCCCTCATGTCATTGGCCTACAAGTGTTCATGATTGACCCTGAAACTGTATAAGGCTAAGCATATGCACATTTCTTGCCATGTTATTGATAAATCATTATATGGTGTGATAACCTTATGTTTGTTTTCTACATTTCCAGTCAACCGGTGACATACAAGACATTTCGGATGTACCGAGTCCTAGGAAAGGGAGGGTTTGGGGAGGTTTGTGCCTGTCAGAATAGATCCACTGGAAAAATGTATGCATGCAAAAAGCTGGAAAAGAAGCGCATCAAGAAGCGGAAAGGGGAAACCATGGTTCTGACTGAGAAACAAGTCCTCCAGAAAGTGAACTCCAGATTTGTAGTATGTTTCTTTTTTTTATATCCTGGTTTTCCTTATGGAGAGCATTCAAATGAGTGCTCCTTTCTTATAGGTATAAATAAGAATATGTAGTGCATGATGTAGTTGTTGATGATGAGGTATTTTCTTGTGGAATTCTGTTTTTTTTTTTTTTCATTAAATTTATGACAAGTATATGAAATTCTTGCACCTAATTCTTTTAGCATATAACAAAAGAAGTATATTGAGTGAAAATAGCTTGCAAGTTCCACCACTGATGTCATCGGACATTGTCAGTCTCATCCAACATCCGTGATGTAGTAGCAGGAGGGATATAAAGTAGGTCATGTTGTTGATGAATAAAAATGACATATTCAGCCTAATCATTACTGAATTTCCAGAGAAACAGGAGCAGATATTCATGTAAGGAGCTAAGATTGAGGATGAAATGAGTTTGGTAGCATCTATGTTCTTGGTAATGGCTATGGACAATGTAATGGGAAGGAGTTCATCTCCATTCTCATCCTCTTTTCAGGTCTCATTCCATGGGAAACCTGTCACTCGTACTTTCTTATCCCAATTTGAATATGATCTTGAAAAAAAAAAAAAATTTATTTACTCTGGAGTGGACTTTAAAATGTCAGCTTTTTATCAAAATGAGATGTTAGGTTGCAGCCCTAGCTGGATGCTTTAAGGTGGTGAAAAGTGAGTTAAAATTCAGTTTGTATACTGGTTGTGGATGGCTCTGCCATGTTGGAGTCATTTGCTTGCCATTTAGGGCAGATGGAGGGGGGGAATCTTGGTACCCTATGATCTCCCAAGCATCATGAGCTTATCAATTAGCAATAGCTCAGATGCGTTAAATGTGTTGTGGTTAATTTGATTTGTATTCAGGTTGGAACCAGCTATATTTCAAAATCAGTAAAATTTGAAACATGGAAAAGCACAGCTAAATAAACCATTACACTGTGCTGACTATAATGCTGTGGTCTGTTCTGTCTCTGAGGACAGGGGTGGGGGTGGGGGAGGGGTTGCATCTAATTTTGCCACCCTGCATGTCTATATTTTTTACACAGGGAAAAAAATGAATTAGACATAGGAGAAGTGACATCCTAATCAGAGATTCTAACTTCAAAATGGCACTGACATGCTGTTGGTATAATTTTGTGTAAATCCAACTAATCATGCTGCCGATCTGAAAAAAAAAAGTTCTCTGGTGAGAAGCTTGTGTTTCCTTTTTTTCCCATTTTGTTTCACATATTGGAATACCAGTGAAGCAGTTATCATTCTTGAAGCTATTTTAACCCTTTGTGGTCCATTTTTTTTTTAGAATGCTATGACCAATGGTCCACCCAGTGGAACAAAGGACCACAAAGGGTTAAAGATTATCATTGGCCATGGTGCTTTTTTTTATCAAATGAAAAATCCATTGAATTTTAATGCTTTATTTACTTTAGGGATTTCTATGGAAATAATAGTTATTACATGATAATCTTCCTGTTTTCAGGTGAGCCTGGCATATGCTTATGAAACCAAAGATTCCCTTTGCTTGGTTCTAACCCTCATGAATGGAGGAGACTTGAAATTTCACATTTATAACATGGGAGGAGATCCGGGTTTTGACATTGACCGAGCCCTCTTCTGTGCTGCAGAGGTTAGCTAACTTTTTTTGTGACTCTTCTTATATCTCTCCTTGAAGTATGTTCTTTTTACATTGGATAAAACAATATTCTCTTTATTACTAAATCACATTGTCATATGATTTAACATTACTGTTTACATTACAGGAATGCTTGGACTTTAAACCCTTTCACTTTGTAAAGAGAAAAAGTGCTTTACTCTTTCGAACGGACCCATGTTATTTTGGGCTATTTTCCAAATTCCACCTAAATGCACATTATAAGGCACGTGTGCATTTAATGGATAACCTAAAGGTAACAATGTTAAACTCAAATATTATATAGGGGACCTACTATTATGCAGTTATAAATAAAAACAACTAAAGCAAGTAACATAGCTAGCCTACATTTCAAACAAAATTAGCCTGCACCATTGCAAACAAAAGCACAAGCAAATGAAGATTTCAGAAGCACAAATTCAACCACAAAAACATGCTGTTTGCTGTATCAACATAGTATATTGTCATTTTTGGCTGAGCCTCACCCTAACACTTGGCAGGTGACATCATTTGAATAAAATAAAAATTGGAAAAGAGCTTGTATATCACATTTACAGAAGCTCCAGTACTGTTTGCTTGCAAGGCAGCACATAGCTGCCCTCCATCAAATTGACTTAATGTGTGGACAGCACACTGCTGCCTTCCATAATGAAAAGGTTAATAGGGTGCATTTTTTTCATTTTTCATGTGCTTTATTACAGCAACAATCTTCACACTTAAGCCTTTTCAATATTAATAGCATGCCAATCTTGTGCCTGTCATAAATATTGCATAAATTTAAATTAAATTCAAAATTTTATCATCTGAATATTGCTCTCATAAAATTTGTTTCTACAGCATTTTGTCCTTTTTCTGTCTTAAGGTTTGAGTTCGATTTCAAGTTCCTGTCTGGAACACTCTATCTATAGAATAGAATATGCTATCTCTTAGCATACCTCAGCATTATCTTGTTTGGAATTTTGCCTGCTAGTCAGGAACCCAGTGGATGAGTTAGTCATTTTTCCATTCTAACAGGTTTTATGTGGCCTGGAAAACCTCCATGCCCTGGGGATTGTGTATAGAGATTGCAAACCTGAAAACATTCTTTTAGATGATCATGGCCATTTAAGGATCTCAGACCTAGGTCTTGCTGTGGAAATCCCAGATGGAGGATGTGTTCGTGGAAGAGTCGGTACCGTTGGTTACATGGGTCAGTCCATTGTTAAGTCACATGCATGCTCTTCTTCTTACCTTACTTCTGAATAAGGACTTTCCTGATTTTCTGTCATTTCAGCTCCCGAAGTGATAGATGGAGAGGTGTATACATTCAGTCCAGATTGGTTCAGCTTTGGATGCCTCATATATGAAATGATAGAAGGTCAAGGACCTTTTAGAACAAGGAAAGAAAAGGTAAATTTGTCATAAGAGCTAGAGAACTCCTTAGCCTGTAGTTCCTGTACATGAGGGTAGAAGTAGGGATTATGTTTTCTCCAGGGTTTGCCTAAGATAATTCTTGCAGCAGGCAACCCTGGGTAGTTAGTCACAAATTATCAGGTATTGATGTTCAGCCTCTTAAATCAATCATGGTAACCATATTTGGTTTTTTCATCCATGCTACCAATGGAATTAGCTCTGTTATTTAGTTCTATTGCAGAATAAAATGAATTTCTATATTCTGTGAATGAAATCATGAGCATAGGCTTCATGAGGCTGTATAAGCCTATTCTCAAGAATTAGCTTGTAATGTTAGGTCTGATGGTCCAGAGCTGAATGTTATGAATTTTGTTGGTCAGCAAGTCTTTGAGTAACTCTTTCACCTTTATGATAATCAGAACCCCTGGAGTTTTCTGTACTCGGGTACTCTGTCTTTCCTTTTTTTTACCCAGAAGTCATTGTCCAGTATTGATCAAACATGATTCCATAAGAGTTGTGAGGGTCACTCAATAAGTTATCTACCTGAATAAGAAAGAAACATCCGAGGGGAAAAATAGCACTTTATTTTTCAATGTAGTCACCTTTTAACTCAACACACTTATTCCACTTTGATTCCAAGTNGTTGTCATGGAGAAGAAGGACCCCCCCCCCTTGACAACTTTCCTCTGCGTTTTTCCTTGAGGGCATCATGTAAATTTTTAATGGTGGTAGCATAGGAATCGCCATTGATTGTACACTCGTCTGGCATGAACTCAAGCAGCAGTAGTCCCTCGCTGTCCCAAAACACAGTGGCCATAATTTTTCCTGCAGATTTCTGAACACGAAATTTGCGAGGCATTGGCGATCCCTTGTGCTTCCACTGCATGGACTCCTGCTTGGTTTCGGGATCCCAGTGGTGAACCCAAGTTTCATCACCAGTTACTATTCTGGGGAAAAAAGTTTCCCCGATTTGTTTAGAAAACTCCAAGTTTTCCTTGCAGATGTCAGATCTGTTCTTCTGAGCTGGAGTCAGCATTCTTGGGACCCATCGAGAACTGACTTTGGACGTGTAATTTTTCATGAATAATATGAATCACTGTGCCCTCTGAAATCCCCAGTTCATGAGCTAAAACAGAGACTTTGGTGCGATGATCCTCCAGTATCGCACTCTCCAATTTGTCACACATTTCCTGATCAGAAGCCTCCACATGGTGCCCCGACCTTGGGTCATCTTCAATTGACTCTTCCCCACTTAAACTGCTTGCTCCAAAATTTAATTTGGTGATAAGAAGGCAAAGACACACCATAAACGTTAGACATATGTTCATGAATCTCCTTAGGTGCTTTCCCTTCTTTGGTGAGGAATTTGATCACTGAACGATGTTCAACTTTCGTCAAATCCATGACACAGACTCAGGAAAAGAAATCTAATGCGCTACCACTTTGAACGGACTTGAGCCACTGAGCTGGTATAGTGGTGGGGCACTCACGAGACCCATCGAGACATGTCACAGCAGGCACAGGCCTGTTGCTCATCCCTTTCATATTCAGGTAGATAACATATTGAGTGGCCCTCGTAATTATTGTGCTCATGGGACTTCTTTGTCCTGAGAGCAAGAGTGTCTTCAAATACCCTTGGGCAGCCAAGTGATGAAAATTTGCACAACTGTGGAGCAAGTTGTTAGTGGCAGGTCAACTTGTTCCTAGCCTTCTTCCCTCCTGATCTGACACTGCAAGAAATATTGAAGGAAGGGAAGGATTGAGGATGAAATGGAGTGAATTGAACACTTGCATGAGAGATGTTGACCTCAAGACTGGGTTGGGTATCCTGACCAGGCCAGGGGATGTGTCAGGCGACCTTTGCATGCTGAGCTGACAAAGTGTGCAGGATATCTTGTTTTATATCCCTTGTGATTGAACATGGGATTGCAAAGCTCTTCCATGACTTACTTCCTTCTCTCTAGGTCAAGAGGGAAGATGTTGATCAGCGAGTGAGAGAGGTAGCAGAATCTTATTCCAGCAAATTCTCTGAGGAAGCCAAGTCTATATGTCAGCAAGTGAGTTAAAGGTTCATTCAATGGTTCATGATATGAAAATTCAGTTATTTCCTTTTTTAAATTTTTTCTTGCTGTGTCCCAGTTGCTGAGGAAAAGCTACAAGGATAGACTTGGTTGTCAGGGAGGGCCTTCAAGATATGGTGCAAAAGAAGCAAAGCGTCATTCTTTTTTCAGTAGCATTAACTGGAAAAGAATGGAAGCTGGCATGTATCAGCCACCTTTTGTGCCTGATGTAAGGTCTTTTGATTTTCCCCTCATAATTGCCATTACAAGGTTGTAGTTGAGCCTTTTTTTTTTCACTCCTTAAATTTAGCCCCATGCTGTGTATGCCAAGGATGTCTTGGACATTGAGCAGTTTTCCACTGTCAAAGGGGTGAACTTGGATGCCACAGACTCATCCTTTTACACCAAGTTCAATACTGGTTCTGTATCCATCCCATGGCAGACTGAGGTGAGACTACTACATTCATATCTGCTGTGCATGAGAAGGTTTCGTGATTCTTCCTTTGCAAATGCAAGAATTCTTAATGGGAAGTGTCATTTTAACCCTTTCTGTCCTGAATTATGTTCTGGGCATGGAAATAATATATCATTTACGTTTTTGGACTTCAGCAAGGCTTTTATAACATGAAAGTGCTTTTAAAATGGTTTCATCATGTAAAATTAAATATTTATTTCAATTATTTAAATAAATTAAATTTATTAATGAAATAATGCTATTTAATTAGTTCAGCTAGTACTTATATCCCTTTTTTATGTCATATGTTTCCCAGTATTTCTGTACTACTTACCATCATCTAGTTTGCAAAAACATGGGGGAAAATTGGCTGGGAGTGAAAGAAATGTCTTAGCTGAAATACAAATTAATAATAACACCATTTTTGAAGTGCCAGAGGAAATGCAGCACCTCTATATCACTATGGGCCGCTTTCATCTTGACAATATGTGATGAACTGCTATAAACAGGGACTCAGAATCCTGCCATGGCCTCAAGTTTGTGCATTCCTATGTAGCCCTATAACATATGCAAAGAAAATGCAGGACTCCTGAGTTCTGCCAGGACTGAAAGGGTTAAGCTACCTCACTTATTTTGGGTGGGAGGGAAGCTTGACCTTCCTGCTGTATAGGGTAAAACACCCAGTGATGAGCCATGGTGTAGGAAAATTCCAAAAATTCGGCATTTGTAGCATGAACATCTGAAGAGTGTGTGGGCTTGCATGCTTCTACCCTATGTCATAACAGTGGTAGACATGCTACAGAAGGTTAGCTGTTGGAATTTTAATGCGCTGTGGCCCATCACTGGGTATTTTATCCTACCTGTGTCTTTGAAATTTTGGTGTTTTTTATTTTTATAACAGGTAATTTCCCCAGATAATAAACACTATTGTTTGATTTTTTGTGTCTCATAAACATGTTGGCAACATTCCAACTGAAATATGCAACACTCATGACTGCCCCAGAGGGTCTCTCTGGTATTGCAGATGGGCTTTCCTGTCTAATTTTGGTGCCTGAGCCTAGCTGACTGGTTCCTTCCATTATCTAGTGCATTCTTACATTAAAACTTTTGACGTCATGCTAATTTGCTGTGTCTTTCTTTATGTTCTTAGTAGCCCATTTCAATATTCAGTCTGTCTTATATTCTTCAACATTGCAAAATTATGACTTATAATATGTTATTTGGTAATTCCACCAATACTGGAGGAGTGATTTTGGGCATTATTGGTGTGACTTGAAATGAGTAATAAGGGAACAGTCCTGTTGGGATGATGGAGCATGGTTGGTGCATCAATGGGATATAGAGAATCATCAATTTTACACCTGTACATAACACCAGTTAGCAATTGTTTGCTGAATTTTTTTCTTTTAGATGATAGAGACAGACTGCTTTAAGGAGCTCAATGTGTTTGGGGAGAATAACACACCTACTCCTGACCTGATGTTGGATGTTCCTCCTCCTCCACCTGATGAAGGCTGCTTCCCTTTCTTTAGGAAGAAGGTAATGTTCCAGCTGATCTTCCTAATATGGAATCAACCTAAAAAATTTCACTGGCATAACTATGGTCTAACAGTAATTCTCAACCATGAAACCCTGGAGGTCTGGAAAACTATGCCCAGAAAGAAAAATTATGGAGAAAAGCAAAAATTAATATTTAAATTTGGTCTATGACAATTGCATTATTGACAGGAAATTGAACATACGGTAGTGTACCCTCACTGGAGTTCATTTTTTTCCGAATAATTACAAGATATTGTAGTCTATGTGCATATCCCTAAAGGAGATGTGGGACTGATATTGTTTTTTCCTGCAGAACTCAGCCAAAATAGTGATAAGACGCACTCAGAGTTGAAGTATGGCTCAAAATTATTTGCAAGCTGTCTCATAAGAGGGATAAGAAAAATTGTAAATTCTTTCCTTGCATGGAGCAATAGCTCAGGACCAGGTGTTTTAGACTTGTTTAGAGGTATTGTTTCTGTTGACATTCAATGGACAGAATATGGCTCTGAAGTGCTGGCCATATATTAGTCATGTTTCAATTGTTTTTTTTCAGAAATGTCATCGCCATAAATGAATGAACTGTTCTTGCAAGAGGATTTTGATCCATTAGTTCCTTTGGAGGACCTGCTTGTCCAGCAACCAGAAGAGCATGCACATATACACATACTCATATGTACCTGCCTCACTCTTCAGGGAGTCTTGCAGAGGAAAGTTGCCCCTAAGCATCAAGATGAGGCCTCCCTTGTCATATTGTAATTTCAAAAAGTGTACAGTTTGTGGTACTTTACGCTTGCCGCCCCTCTGTTCTAACCATGACACCGAGTTGATGACCGTCTGATGTTCCTCTGGTAGGAAGGTCAGGAATGAACCAGAAATCAAAATGCTGGTGTCTCCCTAACCTCCTTTTTATCAAGGTGCACTCCTGGAAAGACAGTTTTGTGAGACTGTGCCATTCTGCTATGATACTGATAGCTAGTCAATCTTCTTTGGCTGTGCATGGATGTAGGATTGTAGCATCTTTCAAACTAGGTTGTCAAATGTGCATACCTGTCTTGTAGAACTCTGCCACTTGGAGTTTTGATCCTTTTTATTTCCTTTTGTGCAAAGGTGGCACCATCGATTTGAGGTTCTCAGTACTCCTGGTTACATAAGCTAGCAATTGTCTCACTTTTAAAAATCATAGGCCCAACAAATGTTTCATGCTTGCACCTAGGATTGAAGATTGAAGAAGACTCCATCCTTACTCAAAAGTCTGTTCAGAAAGAGTGTATTTCCTTTCTGGTATGCCTTGCATTCATCTTTAACTTCCTTTGTGAAGGGGATCTTACTTACATAATTGGAATGACTGATTCTGTGATTTTATCTGATGCTCCTGTGCTCATCATTCACTTCTTGTGACCATTGTGGAACATCTTTGAGTTTTCATCTCTCAATTTTGAATGTTGGATGAACAGTGGATTTGGATGATGCATTTGCCATTCTGGCACTATGTTTTTTTTTTTCTAATTATTTTCTTTCTCGAGTATGATTCATGTCCTATAAGTAACATGTTTTCATCGGTTTTAATTTTTTTAAACCATCGTTATTGCTCGAGCCAATGACAGCTGGTGATGTGTTTGATTGCTGTATGAAATGCTCAGTTTTGTTTCATGATTGCTTTACTGTGTGATAAGTAGAAGTAGGATTGGTATCTTCCCACAGCAGGATCACAAAGCTCTTGACTGCGATACTCATGCAACATGCTACTTTCAAAACGTTGGTATAATTCATCAGAGGTGTAGCTGAATCTGTTTAAGGTTAATGAAATCCTGTGGCATCACATAGTTATTAGGACCTACTAGTAGACTATCTTTTCATTAAGGAGGCAAATCAGTGGCCAGATGTCTGTAACTTGCATACTGTGGTTATGGAATAGTGTATTGATGCATTTATCTTCCAGTAGTCCAAGTTATTGCTCTTACCTTTCTGTGGCTGGAAGGGGAAAATTCTGTACAGTGAGATAGCTCTATTGGACAAAACTGGAAGAACTGAATTGAAATTGAAAGTTGAGAACTGTGTTAAAGGGGAGATGGAATGAAGTGCATTGTAGGCATTTTATTGACGTTTCTCCATAAGTTCCTCCCTATGAAGAACATACCCTCATGTGCAATGTTACATTTATGAGATGGAATGACAGTTTTTTTTTACTTGAATTTCAAGTTTATGAACCAGATATGGTGAGGGGCCAGAACGTCAACCTTGTTTCTGTCACTCTCACAAAGAAATTGTGAAAATTGCATTTGTTTTGTCACAACCAAATTTCTCAGGTGAAAAAATTTTTTAAAAACAATTCTTCCTGGCATGAAGTTGGAGCCCATGCATAGTGCAGAATAGTGAGCAGTATTATGTAGTCATTCTAGTTCCATTGCCTGTGTTATTGGCCTTCAAGGAACCCATCATGTCTGAGACTACTGCAAGTACAAATCACATGCTCTTGCCAATTTTCAGGGCTGTCATGTCAAATTGAATTGAGCAGACGTGTCCATGGAAAAATATCTGTTCAAGTCATCCTTTTGACCTCATTGAAATTCACACATACCAAAGAAAGATCAAAATAGCTCATTCCCTGGTAGAAGATCCTGCCCTGAGTGATACCTGGTCTCCAGTCTCAAACTGATGGGTTGCTGCAACCATTGAAGGCCGTTAATGCTGGATGCTTCCCTGCATTGTCATGCCATTTGGCAAGTCCTTGCTGTGTGCCAAAGTGTGATTGGAATTGCTATTTATTTTTATGAATGTGCTGCTTGTAAGCGAGGAGGTATGTATCCTTGTAGTTTCTCAATTCTTTGCTATGTATTAGGCCATTTCCTGACGAGATTATTGGCTCTTTACTCAAAAATTCTGTAGCTGATCTCTGCTTCTTATTCAGATTCACTTTCAAGAACCTCTAGTTTTGATTGGTAGCTGGCAATACCTCATTCTTTTTTTGTTCATCTTGTTTCAGCACTTGCAGTTGCACATCAGATATGATCATAAGCCTTTGAACAAATGTCTCAGTGAGATGGAATGAAGGCCTGCTTGACTATTGTTTTTATTTCACCTTTGTCTTTTTTATTTTGAGTTTTTAAATACTTGACAGGCTCTGGGATAGCATGGTTCCCAGCTTTGGTTCTGTCACTCATTTCTTTAGTTCAGGGAGCTCCACTTGAATGACACCTTGACTTTCATCCAGTTTCCTCAATGAGCCTTGAAGATAGGTAAACCCTGTCCCAATGCCCTGGCAATTCATGGACATCAGTTATTTATCTAGTGAAACTCCTCCCCTTGATAACTGCATAATTTGCTTGGAATTGAACTTGCTCGTCAAGCTTAAGTTGGCAAAGTGAACGTGAGTAACAGGTCATTGCACTTCGTAATTGTCAACTTCTGAGTAGACTGATGGAATTTCTTCCTGCAATCCCTCTGTATATCATGGCTGTTTTCTGAGTGGAGCACCAGATATAGTCGAGTTTCTTGCACATTCCAAATGGGGGATAATTCCCACGGACGGCAAATACTAGAGCTCAAAGCTTCTCATGGATTTGTCATTTATTTGATCTGCTGTGATTCTCTTTAGTCAGTTAATTTTTCTGCTCTTAGGTATGCATACATGCATTGAGGAGAATGGTCTCTCTTCCGAGAGTGTTCCGGCCTTAAAGCACAATACATTTGAATAACTTTTCTAGCTTTCCGCGGGACTTCACAAGTTATGTAGATGATGCAGAGTCGTAGTTTAAAAAGCTATTATGAGAGAGACCAAGACAATCATAAGATGTGGTTTGAAATTCTCATTATTTTAATCATCCTATCGGCATACTCAGCTGCATGAAAGGAAACCTGTCGTAACCGATGAAATATCACTGCAGTCTTCACCTTCCCACAAGGAGTGTCAATTCCACATCCTCCTTGAAAACTGTGTTCCAGCAATATGTTCACTTGAATTTATCCCCCCCAAAGTAGCAAATTGGTGTCTTCCTCGATTTTAAATTACCTTCTACCGTGCTTGTCAGCCCTTTCGCTTTAGTAATATTAGCTCATGCTATTTATAGGCTTCATCAGGAACTGTTATGTCTGCCCTTTTTTGTTGATGGTGTGAGAACATCTGAGTCATTACGTGTTTCCTTTCTGTTGACATTTTGGTCGCCTCATTTCACTCCTCCGGAGTCCCGTGTCTTTCAGTTGCTCATGTGCTATGTATCGCTTTGGAATGGGTGCAATCACTGCATGGTTGACCGTCTTCGACTCCATTCGATGCATCCCGACCGACTCGATCCACTTGATTTACCCCTCGTGCATGATTGCTTGTGTCCACGAGTGCGCGCTGTGACCCTTCCCGTGTGAAAGGGGTAGAGACGTAACAGCCATACAACGAGGCCTGGAGTGGTGCGAAGACCGGATCGCAATATCGTCGTCGTAGACTCGCTGGTTCCTGTTTCCGCTTGCCTTGTGAACTTCATACTCCCATACTATACAGTCGTACCGAAGGAAGGAAACGGAAGGCAGACATTACCCTGCTGTGATATAAGCAACACAAGAACGATAACGAGTGGAGCGCAATTGTACAACTGGTTGATCAAAGTGTTCATTTCCCTCCTTGTTTGCCTTTCCTTCTTTGTTTATTTTTTGCGTTAGGAGTTGTGAATGTGCGTAGCGCACTATGCTTTCCTGGAATTGTGATTAAAATAGTTATGACAGCCTCTACATGACTTTTCCTTTCGGCATTGTCCTCGTTGGACCGATTGTAACCAGCGAATACCGGCATCGTGTTGTCCGCCAAAAGCGGCTCGGAAAAAGGAGGGAAAAAAGAATACGATTAGGGAAGCTCGCAAGAAAAGGCAAACGCATCGAAGAGGAATCCGCTGGTGTCACTGGAGCCCTTATGACAAAAAGGCAAGAGGGCAGGGATTCCATGCATGCCATTCCGATGATGATAGAAATGTTTCGGGGGGGGGGTTCAATGGATCCGAAGAAGCAAGCCGAGCCAGAAAGAGATTCTAACATGGTCAAACGCTGAATGGTTCCCAGATTCAATGAAGTGTATCAGGAGTGCTTCCGTACAAAGACGGAGCTCACTAAGGCTATTTTTCAAGGGAATGTTTCCATGTCAGGCCTGAAATGCCTATTCAAACATAGTCGACAGACCGGTTGAT